GGAAGAGTGGTGATTCTCATTGGAAGAAAAGAAACTTGGGGGGCGGGGAAGAAAAATTTATTGGGGTACATGATAGGGCTGATATGTCAATAAAATTATTTTGTCTCCCTTTACCATAACTATGCCCCCATGATTATGACCAATAAGTGAAGGTTACAATGGGACAGGTGTTGAATCAGAATGAATGAAATTTCTAATAATGAGAACTGTCAAACAGTGTTATTGACTAAGTATTTACCGTAGCCCAGGCTTGTGGAGACAAAACCAAATAAGGCAGAATTGCTATCTAGAGCAGCTCATAAAGTGAAAACCTCATTCTTAAAGTGATGAAACAAAGACTAATTGACTATCTGTTAAGGATCCTGAATCAGATAGGGAAGACAACTAAGGTCCACTCTAAAATGAACATTTTAACAGTCTGGAACCCCTGCAGAGCTGGCAGATAACTTTAGAGTGAGATGAAATATTCATTCAGAGTCCAGAAGACTCCAAGGAATACAATATATTTTTGAACTGTGCTCGCCAAGGTCTTTTATGGTCATGTAATGATGTATGAAGTTGGTGGCAAGTTAATCTTACCTTAGGGTTTTACTGACACCTAGTGGTTATAATCTAAAATGTTAAAAAACAACATACAGTTATCACAAAAGCTCATTTTTATAAAAATCATAAATGAATATAGTGATAAAAATTCATTCATTTTGAACTCTCTTTTCAAAAAGTAGTTAAAATTGCTTAAATAACATCTTATGTTTTAAATACTTTTCTTCTGAAATTTCAAACTCTTTAACACTTGATTATAAGCAAGCCTATAATGGTATTAGCTTATTTTTTAACTCATATCTTTCAGTTATGTTATTCTCTTGCTTACAAAAAACAGAAAAACTTCATCTAAATGATAATTTCATTAAATTTTAATAATGTAAGTTGAGATAATGAAACATATGATCTAATTCAAAAGGAGAATCATAGGCACCAATTCAACACCATTAGCATGACTTTCACAATAGTGACACCCCATTTATAACATTCTTTTTTAGGTCTCTGACTGTGAACAAGATTAGAGAAGGTTGGTTCTGGTTAGACGCAGGCATTATGGTTAAGAAATAACATATACGAATTAGTGGGAAGTTAAGCTCATGTTCGGCCTTTGCATAATGCCTTTATGCTAAATAACTTAAATGAACTAAAAAGCCATGGCTATTGAACTACAGAATACATTAAAAAACTTTCTGTGATTGACCTATAAAGAAAAGAGTAAAGCAGAATGCTTTCCATAGTCGGTAAAGTATATAGAAAAAAAATCTAGCTGATATGGTTGATATGTTCTAACAACATAAAATGAAACATTTCTAGGTAGAAGAAATTGGTACCATTAACATTTGGATGGTTATGGTATCATAATATTTTGATATAATATGAAAAATGCTGTTTCCCCAACTATGACCCCCATTATGACTTTTAAACGAATTATAAGCTCCAAATACTTGTTTCTTCTGCAAGTTTCCCACCCACCCCTATATTTTTAAAATGAAACACAAGACTGATAAATCAGTTCTTTTTCCTAATTAAAAAAAAAGCTTTGAGAAAGGCAATCCCCCTTCTCCATGGTGAAGACTATATGCTTGCATGTGAGTTCTCAAGCCCGGTGGTCTTGCTTTGAATCTGTGCTTTCAAACTCTACTTTGTGTTGCTCAGAGTGACTTCCCAGGCCACACTAATAGCCCTCAGATGGCTTAAATGCAATGATGTATCATTGCATTTAAGAGAGAAAATTACATTTTACCTCTCTGATCTATTTTAGTGACATGGGAATTTTTTTGAGACAGAGTTGCGCTCTGTTGCCAAGCGCCAGGCTGGAGTGCAGGAGTGTGCTATTGGCTCAGTGCAACCTCCCCCACCTCCTGGGTTCAAGCAATTCTCTTGTCTCAGCCTCCCAAGTAGTTGGGATTACAGGCATGCACCACCATAGCCAGCTAATTTTTGTATTTCTAGTAGAGACAGGGTTTCACCATGTTGGCCAGGATGGTCTCAATCTCCTGACCTCGTGATCCTCCTGCCTCGGCCTCCCAAAGTGTTGGGATTACAGGCGTGAGCCACAGAGCCTGGCCAGGAATGACAATTTCAATACATTTAATATCTGTTCTTTGTTTTATTATTATTTAGCTTCTGTTAGCTTAGTGTTAGTTGAAACATCAGACAGAAAATTCATGAGAAGGGTATTAGCAAATGTGTGCAAAAGTCAAGTACTTTTTATACTCCAAAAATTATTTGGAGCTTATGATTCCTTTAAAAGTCATAATGAGGGTCATAGTTGGGGAAGCAGCATTTTGCATATTGTATCAACATGTTATGATGGTCCCATAATCATCCAAATGTTAACAGTACCTATTTTCTTCTATCCTGGAAGAGTTTTATGTTCCCAAACCATTTGCAAAATTTGCTTACAGTTATGAAGCCTTCTAGACATATAGAACCGAAGCATGCTGTCTTGTAATTTCCCATAAAATCCTTCAGGTACTTGAAGAAATTCTTCACAAACCTTGTTTCCATTTAACATTTTTTTCTCCAGATAATATATAATGTATTATCTCTAAGCTTTCTCACAGCGTAATGCCCTAACCTCTCAATTATTTTGGTTTCTTTCTAGGATGGACAAGGATTGCAATTAAGCTTAACAATTTGGTGTGGGGTCTATAGATATCCACTTCTTTTAATAGATTGAATTAATTTAAACACTGCAAAGTGTGCAACGGACTAGATTATTCTAAAGGAGAATTAGAGATTATGAAAGATAATCTCAAATCAATTTTAAGGTTACTAAAAACTGGTTGTAGATATTTTAAAATTGGTAATAATAATAATCAGCAATAGCCCTAATTAAAAATTTTTAGTCTTCTTGCCAAAATTAATACCTTATAAATTTTAGAATGATCATAGACTATTTAACAAAATGAAACCAGCCCAGTGATGGATAACAGGTGTGATTCCAATTTTTAAAATGCTGTTAATGCAATACTTTATTTTAAATTATTCTTTGTACTTCACAAAGACATCAAGTTATTAGAATAAAGTATACTAGGTTAGAAGTAAAGAGATTTGGGTTCCAGCTTTAGTCCTATTACCTATTAGGCTTGTCACTTATTGCAAATCAGTTAAAATCCCTGAGTTTTGGTTTCTCTATTTATAGTCATTTACTTCATTTAGCTCCACTGCTAGGCTGTAAAAAACATGTAGTATTCATGACTGTTCACTGCTGTATCTGCAGCCCCTTTCTAATGCAGAGCAGGCAGTCAGCTAATGTTTACTGGTTGATCAAATTAAGTATTAGAAACTAAAAAATACAAATATTGTCATGCATGCTTCAGAAGGTTGCCATGAGCCTTAAATGATATAGTGAAATACTGTATGGGAAAATGGGTGTATTCTTTTAAGATTTTTAAAATGTGGATACATTCTTGGTACCTAACTTAAGGTAAATGGATTAATAATTGTAAGTGATTTTAAATCACTACAGTTTATATATTTGTAAGTATTCTGAGAAAAACAGGCCCAGCCAGGTGCGGTGGCTCATGCCCATAATCCTAGCCCTTTGGGAGGCCAAGGCGGGCAGATTGCTTGAGCCCAGGAGTTTGAGATCAGCCTAGGCAACACAACGAGACCCTATCTCTACAAAAAATACAAAAATTAGCCAGGTGTGGTAGTGCATGCCTGTAGTCCCAGCTACTCGGGAGGCTGATGTGAGAGGATCGTCTGAGCCCAGGAGGTCGAGGCTGCAGTGAGCTGTGATGGTGCTACTGTGCTCCGGCCTGGGTGTCAGAGTGAGACCTTATCTCAAAAATTAAAAATAAAAATAAGTAAAAAGAAAAATTGCCTCTACCTATCTAAAGGCTCTGAAGACTTTAGTTATTGCTTAAGATTAAGGCTTTGGAGAGAAAATAATCTGTGATTTTCAATATTGCAGGTAAATTCTCTAACACATTCAGATTAAGAAGTCAAATGTTGGCCAGGTACGGTGGCTCATGCCTGTAATCCCAGCACTTTGGGAGGCCGAGGCAGGCAGATCATGAGGTCAGGAGATTGAGGCCAACATGGTGAAACCCTGTCTTTACTAAAAATACAAAAATTAGCTGGATGTGGTACTGCTCACCTGTAATTCCAGCTATTTGGGAGGCTGAGGGAGGAGAATCACTTGAAGCCAGAAGGCGGAGATTGCAGTGAGCCGAGATCTCGCCATTGCACTCCAGCCTAGCAACAGAGCAAGACTCCGTCTCAAAAAGAAAAGTCAAATGTTAATCCCTGTGCTACAACAGCACAGTCATGATATGTAATATCTTAACCACATTTTAAAAAGATAAGAGTATGATGTATACTAACCTTGAAAGATCTAAGACATTCTCTTAAGTGAAAAATAAAATATGCAAAGAATGTTTATATTTATATAAAGAAAATCAAGCTATATATTTCTAAATTTTCAAATATATGTATATAGGAATACCTCAAAAAAGGCCTAGATGGTTCACACCTAATTGAGAACAGTGATCTGCCTTTGAGGAAGGGAGTAAGACTGTGTAAGGGCAAACAGGAACTTTTGCTTTGTTGGCACTGCCTGACATTTTTTAATATCAGGAATGTGAAATAAAAGATGAGAGCATATTACTAATCCATTGAATTCCTTAAGCCTTACTTGAATACTGAAGATGGTCCTTGCAGGAAGGGAGCGCTGTGGCTTTCAGTAGCACAACATTTAGGCATTCTCTCTTATGGTAGGTGAAATGGTTTTCCTACAGAGAAGAAATGCTAAATGGCTGACAGCACTGATACTGAACATTAAGTATCACACTTACTAAAAAAACTAACCTGCAAAATTAGAAGGATTAAGAAGAAATATATTTGCTAGTTATATATAATGGTGATAGAAGGTTAGGTTAAATATAATTCTCATTAGAATTACAATATAGCCTTTGAATATTATATTAAGTAAATGAATTCAATTTAAGTTTCATTTTCAAAGTAGTTTTATTTTATGACATTTGATTGGCCCAGTCCATTAGACAAAAAGACATATAGACCAAATACAACATAATTTCTATAACCTGAGGGGACTCATGCATCATTACCTGATTGCTTGCTGACTTGGCTGTTGATTGGTTTCATGACTTCGAAGCTCCCCTCCTATGACAATTCTTCCTTCCCTAAGGACTCCCTCCTGGCTGTTTCTTCATCCTGCCCTAAGAGCTCGCTCTGTTCCATAAGCTTCCTTTCCTGTGATGAACTTTCGTCATACGTTGTTCTTTGCAGGTCATCTCTGTCTAAAAGCAGTCCCTGTGTCTGTGACATGCTCTGCTCCAGGAATTCAGAAGCCCCCAGTGACTCTCTCATTGCTTCAGGGCCACGAGGCTCAACCTCGGGTTCTGGAGACGGATGTGAGTCTCTCTGATGCTCATACATATACAGTCTGTTTTCAACCACCTCACGGATCAACACTGAAAATTTAAATGTCCAAACATCACTATGATTTTCATACTAGGGTATATTTTAGGAGTTATAGTGCTGACTTAAAGATGATTATAAAACCTTCACGAAGCCTCAAGTTAGCATACTTAAATTCACACTTGATGTATTAAACATGAATTATACTCTGTTTTAACAGAATATCATTTGCAAAATAATGACAGAAGATACTAATAGATATCAAATTATAGAAGAGCCAAAAATAATATTGAGGATAAAAATTTGCACTTTTGTTAATACTACTGATATACTAAAAGTTTAAACATTAGAACTGTAAAATTAATCTTTCTTTCAATTTATTCAATATATTCTTTCTACTAAAAATTTTAGAGATGACTTTTGGATAATTAACTTACTGTCAAGCACTGTTCTTCCCACCATGCTATATTCCATGGTTTTTTCAACTTCATTCATTAGCCATGGAAGAAATCCTATCTCAATATCTGTAATAAAAGAATTCATTGATTTTTATGAATCATCAGAGGAATAATGCACTTTTCTCCTAATGTAATAGACTCATCAACACTGGTTTCATAATATAAAATGTTAAATAGACTCATACAGCATAACTTTTGCCATCTTCCTTATATATGTTCTGGTCAGTTTCCTTTCTATTGCATAAATGATATTTTAACAACTGTGAGGCCTTCCTTGGCATCAAGGCATTTGGAGTCTACTTCATAGGTGCAATCTGAGATAGATCAGGGAGGCAGGGGGAGGATGTGGGTTTGGGAGAACTCCAATCCAAATGTAATGCAAATCTGAGATTGAGCAATGCCAGTAAAAGAAAGTTTCCACCTGAAGCCCAGGGCCTAATGGAATGAAGCTGATCAGACTCAGAGAATGCAGGTCAGAGGGCATCTGAGGAGACGGCCATCTAGAAATAGGTCAGAAACTGGGTGTTTCCATCAGTATTAAGTTTGTTTAGACTGAAATCTGTGTAAGCATTTAAAAAATATGGTCTATTACAATATGCATTTTAAAGTTTCAAAACAGTATTTTTTTGGGGGTAGGCACCTAATTTTATTTTTCAATAGGATGAAATGGAGAGTGTGATAAAGTATTATATTCACGATGATAAATAATAAATAATTTTAATCTCAGGCATGAATTTCATTTGCAAGATTTTAAATGATCTATAACTGACTTTTTTTTTTGGCAATCTGTGATAGAAAAAAGATTACTGGTCTCTCTGGCTAACAGAGTCCAAGCTAGAGCACAGGACGGCAGGATGGTAGCAGAGAATGAACACTGGAACTTGGAGTCTGAGTTCCAAGTCCGTTTGAGGCCTAATATTTCCACTGCATGAGGATTTGGGAGCAAGGCATTTAATTTCTCTGAGTTTCAGTTTCTATTTCTGAAAAAATGGGAATTATATCTGACCTGTCTATCCTACAGGGTTATTGGGATTATCAAATGATACTACCTATGAAAAATACTGTCAACTGGGAAGGTATAAATGTAAACTAATAATATTTGTCTGTGAGCTCATCTCTTTGTATTGAATTGAATATGTAATCATTAAAATTAACACTACTAACACAATGTATTTTGGGGCACATACAATGTATGTGCTTTCACCCTGAGAAGCTGGGTGGTGGTGAAGACATGCAACTCTTCCCTTCCATTGGCTAAGCAGCTAGGAATGTGGGCTTTGAGGGGATACAGACAGACAGCTATCAGGCTATGGGCTCCCTAACGGCAGAGATCAGGGATCCTTCTTTTTTTCCAACACCAAACACTGCCTGGAACAGGGTAAGCACCTAATTAAATGAATAAATGACCTCAATAGCTGCCCTCAAAAGATTTTTGCTTGGAATAAGAAGTCAGCTGAGAAAAAGTTAATAACAACCTCTTATACATATAGGACTTTATAGTTTACAGTTTCATGTATTTTATGACTTAACTCCTAAATAATCCTCATTTTAGGCTGGGCTTGGTTGCTTAGGCCTGTAATCCCAGCACTTTGGGAGGCGGAGGCAGGTGGATCACTTGAGGCCAGGACCAGCCTGGCCAACATGCTGAAACGCTGTCTCTCCTAAAAAATACAAAAATTAGCTGGGCGTGGTGGCAGGTGCCTGTAATCCCAGCTACTTGGGAGGCTGAGGCAGGGAGAATTGCTTGAACTTAAAAGGCAGAGATGCAGTGAGCCAAGATCGCACTACTGCACTCCAGTGGGGGCAAAAGAATGAGACTCTTTCTCCAAAAAAAAAAAAAAAATCCTCATTTCACACATGAAGAAACTGGAGGTCATCAAGCTAGTTAATGATAAAGCTGCAACCCAAACTCAAGCTTTCAATACCAAGTCCATCTTTCTTTCTACTATACAAACGTTGCTTCTCAATAAACAAACATTAATGTCCTTAAATCAAGATCTTTGGAATACACATCTCATTGATGACTGTACTTACTTTAAAAAAACAACTAAAACTGACTTTGTGTCAGAAAAAGAAAAATTCCAATTCAAAATAAAAATGGACAGAAGATAAATTTGAACCATTAAGGGGATGCTTATTACAACAAAATTAATCTTACAAAAATATCTACAAACCTCTTTCAATGGGATCATAAAAGTAGCCACTATCTCTGAGGCTGCCAAAAACAGACGGGAGAAGGTCAGCCAGGTAACGCTGTGCAAATGCTCGGGCAGCGATTTTTTGTGATGTCTCGTTATGCTTGTGCGCTATTTCCCACTGCTGTTTCTTACGCCGTTCCTGTCAAGAACGACATAGGTGGTTATTTAGCTCTTATGCCCTCCCCAAGTACTGAATCTAAGAATGTGGACTTATAAAAAAATGGACAGCAAAGTGTCTATTAAAGGTTCATATTTTTCATCAAAATTTTAACGAATTTCAATAGCAAGTGGGTACTAAATTCAGAAAGCTAAAAAGACGGAGCTTAAGGTAAAACATCTCACTATTAATTTTCAAGTAAAATAATTTCAAGACATTCATGCCTTACAGTATAGATGGCAGCAAAAAGATAATCACCATTATATGCATTTTAAATTAATATTATCATGAAATATTTGGTAGGAAAAATTACAATTGCTTAAAAATCTTTGGTGAGAGAACTCAGGCCAATGAATGAGTTCATTTGTAATAATTCCCTGAATTCATAAAGCTGAATGGTTCTGAAGATCATGAAAGCCTCTTATTTTTTGTTGCCAGGCACAGTGGCTCACACCTATAATCCCAGCACTTTGGGAGGCCAAGGTGGGAGGATCATCTGAGGTCAGGAGTTTGAGACCAGCCTGACTAACGTGGAGAAACCCTGTCTCTACTAAAAATACAAAATTAGCCAGGCATGGTGGTACATGCCTGTAATCCCATCTATTCGGGAGGCTGAGGCAGGAGAATTGCTTGAACCTGGGAGGTTGAGGCTGCAGTGAGCTGAGATTGCATGCCATTGCACTCCAGCCTGGACAAAAAAAAAAATTCTGTCTTAAAAAAAAAAAAAAAAAAAAAAAAAAAAGCAAGCCTCTTATTTTTTGTTTTTGCTTCCTTTAGACCATGTAATATTTACAAAGCTGATGAATCCTCTTCTCTACTCTCATGTGAAAATGAGAGCATTAATATATTTTCTAATTAAATCTATTTTCAAAGTTTAAACAAATATAAATCTAGGTGACTCTTATATCCAGTTTGCATGACATATTTCCAAATAGTAAATAAACAAATATTTTTTGATAAAGATTTCATGACTCATTTCAACAAAGCTTATTTTGCCACAGTTTATTTTATATTTGTAAACAAAGTCTTACTTTTGCACAATCCTTACTGTAAGCCCTATGTTCTTTACACAATTAAGTATTAATCTTGGAATTAAAGTCCATTTGATAGGTATTCAGTAGGATTTCCCAACAATTACGCTATTTTTCATAGTATATAAGTTAAGCCCTTTGGGAAATTATTTTAACTGTTTCAGGTATTAAGATACTACTTTCCAATTTGTTCATTGGTATAGAACAAAGGCTGACAGTTATTGCCAGAACCGGAGAGGCTGTCTTTTCTAGTGCTTCCACTGTAGGCTAGTGGCACATTTTAAAAAACTGGACTGTAAACCTTTCCTTATTGAAGATTCTAAAACTCTTAATCTGAAAAATATTCTATAAAAACCCAAACAGGTCTGGTGTGTCACTAAGGGTATAAAGAAGGGCCTGGTCACTGAGAAGAAGAATCAGAATTCTATCCAGATCCCCTGCTTCTTCCCCACAGGCTCTCTTCAATGCACCCACTTTTCCCTTCCTTTCATCTTTCTGCCACTGACTTATGGCAAACCAACTTATGTATTTCTTTCTCTAGGACTCCTGATATTTAAGAGAGCCTTCCAACTGGGACACATGTAACCTTGAAACTTTCACTTCATTTCAACACTTTTGGAAACTCAATTTAGGTACGTTTATGTACACCGGAGTTTAAAAGATGTCATTTGGTCCATGAAAGATGTATGATCTACAGGAGAGACCTGAGCAAAAACTATAGATCTTTTTCTAATATATTCCCAAAGATCTTTAGCTTTAGGAGGTATCATTGCATGTAATTTTGAAAATAATATGCGAATTAGCCGAAAGACTGCCTAAGAAATAAAAATATAATGATATATACTTTTTCTTCTCGGTGTCGCCTCTCTTGCTCTTCAAGTCGTTGAACTTCAGCACGTTCACTGTTCCGTAGTTCTTCATACTCACGCTGACTGGCCCGCAGGTTAGCCAACTCTTCTTCTTCCATGACTTCCAGAAGAGATTGCTCAATTGTTTTCCCCACCAAAACTTCTAACACCGGTGTAACTTCAAGATCAAAGTCGAAGAGCTTAAACATACAAAATAAAGCAAACTTAAAATTTTAATTATGAATCAAATGCTCAACAAAAAATAATGAATAGCAATAATGAGATATTATTTATTAAATGTCTCCTGTGTGCTAGACACTGTGCTGTGCTTTATTTGTGGTTTCTAATCCTCAAAATGAACAACATTTTGTTAACAGGCAAAAATCTGTTAAATCAAAGTTTATGAAAAAATATGCATTCATCAAAATGAACCGTTACACCAAAGAGAAATATCCTTGTCTGTCATTCTTTGCCTTTTCTGTTTGATTTTTATTGGCTGTTGATAGTAGTAGTTTGATGAATGAAGGAACAAGAATAACAGGTATTTTGGAGACTCATTGCTAGGATTTATAGGCAAACACAACTTTCACGTAGCTTCTGAAGATTTATTTTATTTCTCAATTTCAATGACAGTTCTTTCAAGTTCCCGCCAAATCTTAAAACTCCTTTAGGTCATTGTGAACATAATCATTGCCTTCTCTTCTTCAATTTCATAAACAGGCCTATTGATGCATTCCTCACTGATAGAAAAATATAATTATAATTTTTTTTTAAACGGGTATCTTCACAAAAGTTATATAATCCACAAGCAACTAATTGTGGAATCTTTATACCAGGGATATTATTTTTCCTTATTTAGTACAAATCTAGCTTATATACATACATCAGG